CTCCTTTGTCGAACTCTCGAGAGTGATGGAGGCATCGGTGCTGAACAAGTTTCTGACCTTGGTGTTGCCGTCAAAGGGCGAGAGGAACGCATCTGCCTCATTACTGCAGTCAAATTCGTAGGTGGTCTCATTGGGGCTGTTGTGGTAAACCAGCCAAACCGGGTCACCAGTCTTGTTCTGGTTGCTCATATAGCCACGCGCGACACTCCAGATTCCGGTCTCGGTTGCAGTGGGACTGCCCGAGTACAAGACGCCATGGGTCTTGTTTGAAAGCTGCTCAAGGAGCCAGCCACCCTCAAGAACGGGATATTTGTCGCGGAAAGAGAACAAGCGCTTCATCCAGTTGCGTACCGAGGCCGAGGGATCACGGTGGTCGTACGCGACGGTGTCGTCCTCACAGCCCTTCTTGCCCTTGGTGATGGGCCAGCCGACGTAGACGGAGTTGTTGCCCGCGTAGCATCCGTGTGCCTTCCATGCCTGGGCGGCCGAGAAGGCCTGACGACCGAAAACGTAGTTCTCGGCGGTGTTGTCCAAAACATAGAAGTTCTGTTCCTCGCCATAGTAGACGAGCGGAGCACCGGGAAGAAGCAGGGTGGTGATGAAGTAGGCGAGCAGCATGCGCTCAGTTCCCTTCTCAATGGCGGGCCAGCGGAAAACGTCCTGGTTGGTGACACCATACAAGTGACGGGGGTCGAATTCTCCAGTGTTGGCGTTGTAGAAGTCGTTGGTGAGAATCATCTGGTTCCAGGTCTGAACCCAGTCGGTCGGCAGATCGTAGCCGGCCTCGAGATGACCGCTCAAACCGAGAAAACGGGTCATGAAACGGTAAATTGAGTAATGGAACGCGCCAGCGTCGAGGGCGCTTTTGCCCTGCTCACGAATGAAGCTGCCAGAGGTGGAAGAGCTGTTCGAATCCAGGTTGGTGGCGTCGGAAAGCTCGAGTGCGGAGGCCATGGAGGGGGTTCGGCCACGGCCCAGGTAGATAGATCCCAGAGTATTACCACTGGTAATTTCACCGACGACCATGAAGTTATCCTTGCCAAGGTCCTTTGCACACTTTCGCATGGCGGTACTCCACTCAGCCTGGGCGTCGACTGTGACCTGAACAGCCTTGTCGATACGGAATCCATCAATGTCGAGGGTTTGAATGGTCATGCAGGAGAAGAGCTCAAGACGCTGGCGAACTGAGGGAACCCACTCACGCAGACGATCTTGCACGGAGGCGAACTTTGCCAATTGACGCTGCCAATCAGGGAAAACACCGAAAGCCTCAATGTCACCGTACTGATCGAAGTCACTGTCGTAGCAGCCTTTCAGCTGAGAAGAGACATCGACCTTCTTTCCGTCCTCAAACCAGAAAGTCGGGTACGTGCAGGAGTCATTGTATTCGTTGCCGATGTCAAAGTCGAGGTATCTTCTGGATGTCTTCCACTGAACCTTGTGCTCCGAAGTTGAGAATGGAGTGGACGTGTTGAGGTATCCTTCGAAGCCGATCAAATCACCCATGCTAGAGGCGGTGAGTAACAGAAAAGAGGCCGACGTGAGCCATCGGATACTTACGTTGCCATAGTCTGGTCCATGACCACATACATCCCTCTCTTGTGAATCTCATCGATGGCTTCTTGCCACGCCGTGATGTTGCCATAGTGCTTGTCGAGGAGAGTGAGATCGAGAGGCTGCGAAATGTCAGTATTCGCGTCACTGCCGTGGATCGTGTGCTCTTAGGCGATTAGCGTACCGAGTATGAATCCGCCTTCCATGGGTCGTTTATGAAGGGTGAGCCAGCAATGTAGAGTGCCTTGATCCCCATGCCCTGAATGTAATCCAACGTATCGACGAGGCCAGCCAAATCTCCTCCATGACGGAGCTGGTTACTCATGATATCATGCTCGAACAGTGTGCCGTTGGCATTGTCGTTATCGGGGTCGCCATTTACGAATCGATCGATGAATAACGTGTAGTAGGGAAACCGCCAGTTGGGGGGCGATGCTGTGAAGTTGTGGCCATCTCTCTTTCCTGAGTATTCGGCAGGACTCTTTGCTAATCTGTTGGTGTTGAGGTTGTAATCGACTTCGCTCGCGGTGTATTTGAGGCCGGAAACGAGGGTTGATGATGTGGTAAGGAGTGTAAGTGCCCAAGCCAATACTGAATTAGACATTTTGTGTGAACTCTTACTCGCCGGGAGGGGCGAGTGAGCAAAAGATTGTACAAGCAAAAAAAAGACAAACAGGAATGAGTGACGAAGTGAAGCTCGAAGGAGTGTGGTGGTGATGGGATGGGGGGAGGAGAGAAAGGCCGCGAAGCAGACCAGCAAGCAAGCAAGAACGAATGACGGGATGGGTTGCAAGGCAAAGCGCGGGACGGATGGGAAGAAAACTCGGCCGTCAACGCCACGCTGGTACCGGTAGAAAAGGGGGTAATCTCGTAGGAGCTTGGGTCAGTCCAATTGCAATATGCCCCAGGCTGAAGGCGGAAAGGGGGATCACTGGCAAAGGCACAGGCAAAGGCACAAGAAGCACAGGCACAGGAATTGAGTGAACAGGCACATGGTACAATAGCAGAGTGGCTGGGGGGGCCACCGTAAAAGAGTCCATGGAAAGGATCTTTCCGTCCGCCTCGCCTCTCAAGGCTCCAGTCTGGCACTGTCAGGTCTGCGAGTCTTGGTCTTGGGTCTTGGTTCTTGGGTCTTTGGGGCGAGAGTGGGATGGGGATGGGGAAGGGGATGCAGGCGAGCAGGCCGCAGGGCCGCAGGGCATCGATTCCGTGATGGGCGGATGGGGCTTCCTTCTGCAGGAACGGGCCAGCCGAATTGTTAGCCCTTCCTCTTGGAACCAGGACCTCTCTGTGCCTCTTCTCCAGTTTCCACTGTCCAGACTCCAGAGAGCGAGTCTGTAGGCCGTGGGTAGGGAGTATATGCGCAGTAAAGAAAAGGCAAAGAAAGGTACCTGTGCCTGCTCCTCTTGTTCGTCAGACCCCTCTTTCTTGGTACATGACAATGTGGCTCCGGGGGTGTAGTGGTCAGGGCTAATTCTGGCTATACGAAGTTTGGAATATGGATATGCAGAGGGTGCAGGCAAGTGCCTGGGTGGGAGCGAACCATGAGTGCGATGGGAGATTGGCGGGCTCCGTCTTGAATTACCATTTTGGACCATGTCCACAAAAGAGACTGTCCAATACGGTGGCCCCGAGGTCAGCGGCGAACAGGGGCGAGGATGTCATTCTGGCCAGTGTGCGCGTAGCGTGTTGAAGACCAAGGATAAGCCGGCACGGTCTGGTGCATCTTGTTGGTCGGTTCGGGCGAGCTCCGTCGTCGGTCCAAGTATCCGCTGTCAAGTAGGGCCCCTGGCTCCAAGGACGTGCTCTCCTGTATCGAGTCAGTTTTGCTTCGGGCGGTACCCCCAGGAAGAATACGAGACGTTGGAGACGAACCAGGCTGTCAGGACGGGTGATCCATGCTGTCGAAGATTATCCAGAAAACAGTGATTTCCCAGTCGGGAACAGTTGGAGACTTGAGGCTCAAGGGGCCGGACCCGTTCAAAGGCGGTGGGCAACGGGAGGTGCGAGGTGCGGCGTGCCTGGCCTGGCCTGGCAGGCAGGCTGAGGGTGGGCGTTGTGGCCGCGTCGTTGGCAGATGGAAATCGGAGGGGTTCATCTCAACTAGCATAAACCGTTTATGCTCAGAGGGCGATGGTGTGGCACCCCGTCCGTACTGGCTACTGCTAGCTCGACCGGCTGTTGCTGCTTCCTGTCCAACAAGTCACCAAGTCTTTCAGGACTAAAGGTGCTGTAGTGTATTCCATGGTGTTTCCGTACTGTGTAGTAAGGTGCCTTAGTGCGGCGTAGACTTGGGCCAAGCCAGGAACAGAAACACGTCGGGCGCGTCTGTCTGATCGTGATCGTGACGTCGACTCGTGGGGAAGCTAACGCAGGAGGAAGCGACAAGTCTGCCATGGCGGCATGGAAGGATTTGAGAAGGAAGGTCGAGAAAAGCAAATCAAAATTGATCTTGTCCTGCCTGGACCTCGCGCATTAGCATCCGGGTCGCTAGCAGTGCTAAGAAATGCGCTTTCGAGGCGTGACTGCAGCTTACCTAATGTCGCACAAGAAGTGATCAAGTAGGTACTTTGGTGGATGCAACAGCGCCGAAGAAAAGGAACGACACTGAGCAAAGAGTGGTCCCAGCCCTGGGGAACTGCACATGGAGCTTGGAAGTATTTTCCCCGAGTGACACCGTGTGACAGATTGGAATGCGGGAGAAAGAGAATGTCGAATGTCTGAGGATTGCCGAATCCTACTGGGGAGAAAGTCTGAGGCCAGGCAGTCAGTCTGAACTTCGAAAGAATTGACAGCGGCCATTGCAATCATTGCAGTGAAGATTGCAGTGAAAACAACTCCTCAGCCACGGGAGATCCACTTGGCGGCGTCTTGGCCAATCCTTGGCTTCAAATCAATTAACATCAGCCACGCTCAAGACAGAGTGTGGCTTCCTTCCCTCAAGCCCTGCCGGTCCTGCTGTCCTTAACTCTGGGCAGTCTACGAGTTCCTTTGTGAGTTTGAGAATTTCTTTGGTCGCCTGCCACCTGCCACGCCGGCAGAGAGTACGTCTCAAGAAACTCCACTAAGTACCTTACTGCGTTACCAGCTCTTTCCTTGTCCAGCTATTTTGTACTCGTGTACGTACCTACACAGTGCTGCGGTGGAAGCAGGGTACCTGGACTTCTCAAGGACTTGACCCACTTGGGCAGGAGGAGGTGGCCTCGAATAGGACGGCTGGGACCGGGGTACTAGGGCCAGGGGTCGGTCGGAGGAGCACCTGCGCTTGCTGCCGACCGGGGCCGGGCCCCCTTGCACGAGTCCACGACTCCTACCGCGGTGCAGCACTTGCCCGCGACGATCGGCCGTATCGCACAGAGCGGTCGGTGCAATCAATCGAGTCAGAGGAGAGAAGCCCTCTTGGTTCTTTTTACTGGCGTGTCTGGGCATCTTCTGGGCGCGACGTGATGGGAAGGACTGATGCCGTGGTTCGCTACTGCCAGTCGCTAGAATCAGGATGGATCTTGGGAAGGAGGGGAACACTGCGAGAAAAAGGGCAAGAACGAGTGAGTTGATGGATAAGGATTGAGGAAGAAGACGAGTCTGGCGGGCAAAGCGGTAAGGGGCGATGTTCGCCTAAACCAGAAGCCACGCCGAGCTGAGAGCCAAGGGCCCAAGGACACGCGAACTCCTTTTCTTTTGGTGGCGTTGGCTCTTTCTTCGCCTCACTGCCCTGTCCTGCCCTACGTCTCATCATGACAAGAAACACAACCGGTTGATGATGGTATCTGGGGAGTCCCATGCCTTCCAGCTATATTTCCAAGTTCCGGTTTCCAGGAGTTGACGAGAAACTCGATTCAGGGCTCACTCAGCCTTCATGAGGCCTATCAAGCGGAAGCCGTCTGAGAAGCCGCGCATTGCTTGGCGAGGGGCTGCCTCAAAAGACTTTATAGAGTTTAAGTGAGTTCCCCAGTCAATTCAGTATTCCCCTCTTCTTTTCCTCCCTTCCCCCCTCTCCCCTGGAGAAGCAAGAATCCATGGAGTTGGGATGTTTGTGGGACAGGACGGTGGGAGTTGCGTCCAATTCGGGACTGATTTCCTCCAGTTGTCCAATAATTGTTGATTATCTAAGCAAGTAGCGAAAGTAATGGCGCCCACACTTGGCACTCGCACCAACCACAGGTCAGCAACACACAGACTCCTTTTTTTTTCCCTTTGCCAAATTGACCACGGACTTCTTATCATCTGTCAACAAAATATAACGCCCGCGCCCACCTGCAGGACACGCTATGCACTCCGACTGCCAGATAGGCTGTCACTGGTCAGGCAGGGAGGGAAACGGACTGGCAGAATTTGCTCTCGCACTCTTGATCGAATTTCGGCTGCCACTGGTTGAATTGCGAGTGTTCGATGGCAAGCCAACCAGGCCCCGAAGTCATCAAATGTCGTCTCATCAAGACTCTCGAGTCTGGACAGGAGTCTTGGTAAGAGAAGCTGCAGCGCAGACAAGCAAACACCAAGCAACGCGGGCCAATAACCAGACAACAAGCCTCCCGTTGTCCAGCGCCGCTGCCAAGAAGACACCAAGAACATGTCTGCCACGCTGTGCCCTCTCAGGTCCATCTGTCTTCGGAATAGTACACAGTAAACACCAACTTGGCTCGTCAAGAGAGGGCGAATCTCGGTCGTTTACAGCGCCGTCGCGTCGCCACGTCTTTGCATCAGCGTCGCCAGCGCCAACCGTCAACCCGTCAACAAGACAAAGCACGCTATCGACGCTGTTCATCAGTGCTCACGCTGCTCAGTGTGCCAGACTGTCAGTGCCATTCGAGTCTTGGTGCCATCAGTTCATGTCCAAAGCGACCAATTGTCATTGCCGACGTGACGTCCCATGTCGTGGTACCACCACACTCTTTTGGGATAAGCTCGCAATCCCATTCCAAAAAGTTCCCACGGCTTTTCAAGGCCGCACCGTTGGCGGCGTTGGCGGCGCTGCCCTGGCGTTTCTTGGCAGGGGAAACGAGGTTTTCCAAGCAGCCAAAGGAGCCAAAGCCAGATACGTAACTTTTGAGATTGGTTGCTGTCCAAAATAACACAGGCTTGACAGGTTCGACCTTGTAGTAATTCCATCCCTCATCTCTCGCCGAGTCTCTCGTCTTTCTTCGTACCTTCACAGTATGAACACTCCAATTGCTCCTTCTCATTGGTCAAGCAGCCACACATTCATCACAGCACCGTCCATCTTGCTGCGCCGTTGGCGGCAGTTTCCCACCACCTTTTCACCCTTTTCAACACACCACTCCACTTTGACCACACACCATCTTGACCAACGACACCACCATTAATTATCCTCATCCTTTCCGCCCATTGTCACATCTAGGCCTGCATCATCGATCAAGAGCCTTTCCATAGTCGTGCCTAGCTATGGCTATATCCTGGCTTGCCTCACTCAGCACACAACTTCTGCTACCCTCGCCTTCATTATCCGTACATATCGCCGTTTGGTTGCTGAGTACGCAACTCTTTACCAACCCTACCTACCTCTCCATCTGCATCTTGGATGGCTTTCCGCTTCCTCATGTCGCTTCTGCAGTCTCCTGCTCCCTTTCTCTCCCCTTCAAACACCAGACTCTGGTTCCCTCACCCTACGCTCGGGTTTCCTTTCCGTCAGTGTCACTATCCCCTTCTAGCGCGGTCGCCTCCACACCCCCCGGCTTGGCCGCCGTATCGACCATCGTATCCCCCGTGGTCTCTCGCTCTCTCTCAGTCTCTCTCTCTTTTCCTCTGCTTGGGTTCAATTTCCCGTCGACCAGCTGTTGGTCATGGTTATTGACACACTTGCGCCCCCCGTGTGGGCCTCGTCGTCCCATTCGATCCGAGGCATTGACATTTGCGGCCAAGTACGGCAAAGTTGCCAGGAACCGTCATTTCCTCCAAGCCATTTCCAAGCCCATCCGTCCCTCGGCCTGTTGTTCCGTGACCCTCTTGTCTTTGTCTGCTTCTCCGCGCTGTCTGTGTTTCTGGTACCTTGCATTGGTTCATCCGCAGTCCCGAACCCTCTGCCCAGTGCCGTCAGAAGGTACGGAGTACGGAACATTATTGAGTACACTACCCGTACTATGGAGGAGTATGTGCGAATATAGATACACATCCAACACTTATGACTGCTAAGAGTTTGCCTAGTATACCGTAGACTGTCCCTAGTCACCTAGTCCACCACACTTTCTCGGTTTTTTTTTTCCCTCTGCTGATCGACCCTCGTGTTCACAGCGTGAGTCTCGTTTTGACGCGCTTGGCCCCTCTTCTTTCACTGTCAACCGATCAACCGACTCCACGTCCTACTCTAGTCACTCGTCTAATCTACCCGGGCTTCCCACCCCTTTTTTTCACTTGCAAGCTCCCAGAGCCAGTCACTCGCTGCCACTCCATTCTCCATTGAAGGGTTCCCCGTCCATTCGTTCATCGGTCCTGTCCCTCTTACATCCCAAAGGTCTATATCGTTGTGTGTGCGCCGCGAATCCTCTCCGACCCTATCCATTCCTTTCATCACGCTCGCACCCAAGCGCAAAACCAATCGTTAATTCAACGCCCATACGCGGCGCAGTCGTTCGTTCAAACAGACATCAGTCAAAAAACATCACCATGCGTACCTCAACACTTGCGTGGGCTGCCGTCACGGCCCTCTCTGCCCTCGTCGAGGCTGCCGACCTCGAGGCGTGGAAGTCTAGATCCATCTACCAAGTCATGATCGATCGTTACGCCCATACCGATGGCTCAACCGACCACGAGTGTGAACTCTACAAGTTCTGTGGTGGCACATGGGCCGGCTTGACCAACAAGCTTGACTACATCCAAAGTGAGTAAATTGCTGTAGATGAATGCATCACGGGCTCTAGCCCAGAGACCCTGGGCCTTACAACTGACCATAACCACCAGACATGGGCTTCACTGCTATCCAGATCAGCCCCATTGTCAAGAACATGGACGATGACACCGCCGTCGGTGAGGCTTACCACGGTTACTGGTCTCTCGATAACTACGCCCTCAACGACAAGTTCGGTACCTCGGACGACTTCAAGAACCTGGTCAAGGAGATGCACAACCGTGACATGTACCTCATGGTCGATGTCGTCGTCAACAACATGGTCCAGAAGCTCGACAGCCTGCCCCCCAAGCTCGACTACTCCAAGTTCAACCCCTTCAACGAGGAGTCCGACTTCCACCCTTACTGCAACGTCACCGAGTGGGACAACAGCACCAACTACCAGGACTGCTGGCTCTACCCCTACGGCGTTGCCCTCGCCGATTTGGCCACCGAGAAGACCACCGTCGTCGATGAGTTTGGCAAGTGGATCAAGGAACTCGTCTCCAACTACTCTATCGATGGTCTTCGTATCGATGCCGCCAAGCACGTCAACGATGCCTTCCTGCCTACCTTTGTCAACGCCTCTGGCGTCTTCGCCTTCGGTGAGGTCCTTACCGGAGCCCCTGCCGACTTCTGCCGCTACCAGACCCTGAACCTGCTGCCCGGCATGCCCAACTACATCGAGTACTACCCCCTCAACAAGGTCTTCTTCGGTGGTGACATGAACGAGCTCGCCGACTGGCGCTCCCAGGCCCGCGATGGCTGCACCGACATCTTCGCCCTCGGATCTTTCGTCGAGAACCACGACATGCCCCGTTTCGCCGTCTACGATGAGGATATTGAGCTTGCCAAGAACGCCATGGCTTACATCCTTTTGACTGACGGTATCCCCACCGTCTACCAGGGACAGGAGCAGCACTTCAACGGTAACTCGACTCCCTTCAACCGTGAGCCCCTCTGGCAATCCAAGTACGACACCACCGCGCCCATTTACCAGCTCACCTCTACCCTCCTCAAGACCCGTAACGCCCTCCAGGCCACCAACAAGGACTTCGCCACCACGGCCTCTGAGCAGCTTTTCGTCGAGAACACCCACCTGTGCCTCCGCAAGGGCCCCGCGGGCGCCCAGGTCGTCTTCTGCGTCACCAACAAGAGCTCCAAGGGCGACACCTACCAGCTCAGCGTCGGCGGCTTCAACCCTGGTGATGCGGTCGTCGAGGTCACCACCTGCGGCACCAGCACCGCCGACGGCACCGGCAACGTCACTCTGTACATGGAGAAGGGTCAGCCCCGCGCCGTCGTTCTTGCGTCCTCCATCGACGCCACCAAGATCTGCCCCAACGGCACCACTGCCGCTGGTCAGAGCAAGAGCGCCGCCGGCTTCATCGGCAGCAGCATGACCCTGGTCCTGGCTTCCGTCATGGCCGTTTCTTTTGCGCTCCTCGCATAAGCAACCATCATTGGTTATGAAATGTGAGACATTGAAAAAGGGCAAAAATCAGAAGAGAAGAAGAAAAAAAGGGCGCGACTCGAACGGGTGTACTGCAAGCCATACACATGTTTTCTTCTTCACATCGTCGAGTCTTTTTTTTCGCAAGCAAGCGGAGTTTGGATAATTCAATGGCGGCTATCATGACGCAGACTATCATCTCTTATCAGTGTAATTATCCTCCCCCACCCCGGGCCGCATGTTCCAAATGAAGCTCTCACGTGGTCTAGTGAGTAATGCTATTCCATCCTTTTACAATGTATCTTGGTTTTATTTTTCTTGCATTTGTTCATAGTGATACCAGACCAATCTTTTCGGAAATAAATTAGTCATAATATTAACTGTGAGCTTCTGTGAGAATTGGTACTCCGTACAAAAAACAAAGAAGTGCGACGGCTCCGTAACCATCTATGAGATCATTGAACATGCTGGTTACCCGCCGGGTAGCACATCCCGCCGGCGAAACTTCACGATGGCGGCGAATAGCCGGGGTTCCATTCTCTGCCCAAGGCTGTTCCAAATCGAGACAACGCAGACGCGCTACGGAGTGAACTCCCTCTCTCTCCCCAGAATATTCGCCCGCCGGGTGCTGGCTGCACATCACTTATCCAAGTGACCGGTATTAAACGGAGGCCGAAAACAGCCGAGTCCATAGTATCGTGCCATTCAGAATGAGAATGAAACTGCATGAACGGTGAAGAAGCAATGCCCCTTCCACAAACAATCCCCCGTTTTTGTTGATTTATTTTCTTCTGCCCTTCTGGGCTTTGGTTATTTTTTCCCCTTCTTTCCTTCTCCTCGGCGCCGAACGGTTCGGCGTCCTCCGTAGATTAATCGCGGCCAAGCTTTTCTTTCCCTAGGTTCCATTACTTATCCATCTATCCTAGGTAACCCGGCATCTGCACAGCCACCACGTGAGTTGACAAAAACTGGATAACGATAGCTTATCGGATATTCTAAGACTATCCTTAAGTGTAAAACGTGGAGCAACAACCCTCTCAAGGTACGTTACCCGATTGTTGTGCCGAGTTTCCCCTGGGTCTCCAGTGAAAAAGAGAGACAAAGGATCCTTCGACAAGTTGGGATTTTTACAATGGAGACGGTGACATGGTGAGTGACAGACAATAGGGGCTGGTGGAGGGTGGGTGGTAAACGGGGGGAAGAGGGGGGCGCTCCATCGATCTATCGGTCGAGTCGGACGAGTCGGAGTCCCACCGTCTAGACGGTACCTTGCACTAAGAGATTCAGCGCGCGAAGAGAGAGAGAGAGAGGACTCGAAAGAAAAAACAATAGGTAACGGACCGAACCCCGTTTTTAGCCCCCAGCTAGGTACTCAAAAGCCAAAGACAGAGTTGTACCTGACCTTAGTGCTTAGTTTATGGAGAGCTACACTATTGGAGCCGCTCGTGGGTAAAGGAGGTGGGTGGGTGGGTGTGTGAGCCATTGGGGTCTTTTTATGCAACGTTTAGTTCCAATTTATGGGGACCGAGTATTCCGTATTAGAAGTTGAGCGCGCACACGGTGTGCCCAGTGACCACCGTGTGCCACACTCTGTTTTTTTCGATTTTTCGCCTGCCGTTCGATACGAAGGGATCGGCCGTTGGAGGTGTGGACCTTGGGCCTTGGACACCGAAAGGGAAACCAGGGGGGAGGCAGAGGGGGAACAAAGGAAAACCGTTGGTTGGATGGCGAAACATGGTTCGCTGAAAAAACGGGATTCATCCATACATAGTACAAAGAAGGGCAGTCCATCCGTACCGGTAACTTTTTTTTAGACTACGTGACTACCAATAGGGTCAATTATCTAGACGATTCGATCGATTGACAGTTTTGACAATGTATGGTAGAGAATGTAGGAAAGGATACGGATTCTGCTACTGCCCAGAGACGGAGGCGAAAAGAGGGGACAACTTGGCAGGCTGAAGGCCCGTGGTCAAATGGTAAGGTAGAGTGTGAAGGGTTGTAGATCAGGGGGTGGGATAGGCTCTGCGCGGGCTGCGCGGACGACGCGCGCTGTGCGTTCGGGACGCGAGGCGGCGAACAGAGAGGGAGATAAGACATGCATAAGATAAAGGCACACATTCTGCACCGCAGAGTCTAGGTAGAAATCCTGCTTGCTCGCCTTTTATGCAGCTCTGAGACCTTGGTTTCTTTGTACATCATGTATGCAGATGCAAATGCCCAAGAACAAGCGCCCGCCACTGGAAGCGAAGTGATGAGATTTGATCCCCCCAAACTAAAGCAAGGCGAGATAATGACGGGTGATCACTGACCACTGACCACTGGGCGGACTGTCAGGCTGGGACATATGTATGTCTAAGACCTCTCTGTGTGTGTTTTATTCTTTTTCTCTCCTTTCTTTCTGTCTGCGTGAGAGAATACTCGGATGCCTGCTTGTCTGACTGGTTGATGTGATCACCACTGCAAAGGCCCTCGGCAGATGAGTGTCTCTGGGACTCGGGGGAGATGGGGGCCGGATATTGAGAGCGGCATGCGGGTGTTCTCAATAGGCTTGGCGCTTGCAATCACGGCGTGACGGAAAGACATGACGGTTCAGCGAATGACAGTCTCCTTTTCTCGTCTCCCTTACTTTTAAACTTGCCTTTCCTTTCTGTTTCCTTGAGAGACATGTGTGTGTATGTGTGTGTCTACACAAGCTGAACTGTAAGCCAACACAGTTGTGTACCGCGTGATAGATGCTGTTCCTTTAGATACCTTATGGTGAGCGGGGAGGGGACAATGTTTTCCTGTTTGCTCTGGCCTCGCCCGCCTTTCCAACTTCGTTCGCCGGGAAGGTGTCACGATGCAACCTCCGCGACCAGCGTGCCATCCAACGAACCAGAGCACATCCGAACTTTTGCTGCCGCTATCGAGCGCGCTCGAGCTTTTCTATCTAATCTGCGGGGTATTGCTTGCATCGTTTTATTGGGTGTCCCGGTCTTTTTACTGGCCTACAGACCTTCGGACCCTCGGAAACGAAAGCAAACAGAAACGAAGATCGCTGTCTTCCTGCTGATCCTACCACCTCATGATAAAGCATGCGGCACAGTCTGTCTGAAAAATGGGAGATGAATGGGTCAAGACTCGACGGGAGAGGATGCTCGTGCCCTCGGCGATCTTCGCTCAGGGTGCCGGGTCATATTTGGCCCTCGTCCTGTCAAAGTGTAGAAGGCCAAGAGATGTTCATTCATTGCCTAGTCGTTATGGGAGTACGGAGTACGGATACGCTTCACCCTTGCAGAGTTCCCTTGCAGTTGGAGTCTCCTCACGAAAAGAGCTCCCGAGCCAAAGTGTCTCTAGATGGGTCGATGGACACCGCTTTTGCCTAATTCCCTCTCAGAAAGTTCGAGACTGACTGTAATGTGGTATTCTTACAAGGAAATTCTATTTTTGAAAAGCGAAAAAGAGAGCCCAACGTCGATCACCCCGCTCAGGCCGGACATTTTTCTTTCTCAATTTCTACCGGTTGCTAAGATTCTCTCATCGCTTCCCTCATCTCGCGTGGACCGCGTGATGTGGATTTTTGCGTAATTGTTTTATTGCTTTCCCATCGCATTTCATTCCTTTCACCTGTATTCAAGATTTTTTACCGAACAGAGCAATCTGCCAACCTGCAGGCTGCCTTACGGCCGGAGAAACGAATATTGGTCCGTGAGGACCTAGTAAAGGCCACGAGGATCGGCATGTGGGAACTCGGGATTCTGGGAAGGGGACGCATGTCTCATCGCCTTCATTTGACAGCGACATGAAGGTCTTGGTTATTGCTTATTCCTCCTTCTCTCTCTGCTGTTCGAAGCGAGACTTTTGGTTCTCGGGTAGAGGACCGCATGCGTCTCTGGGTCGAGATTTAGAGACATGCATGCCTGGCAGGCTTCGCCCTGTGGGCGACGAGGCTGACTTGGCTTGAGCATCTCTTTGCCAATGAGTACTGCGTATACCAGGGACCGTGCGTCACGTCTATCACGGTATGGTGAGGCTATTCTTTTTGGTTGCGTCTTGTCTCCAACCTGTCATCGCATTAACAACATCGTCGCTTGGGGTTGGGGGTTAAGAGTTTTGATGTCTAAGTGGTTCGTCCGAAAGATTGGGGGCTTACTTTTCCCCCGCTCCCCTATGTTGGTTGAGCACGAAGACGAATTCAGCAAATGTGCATTAACAAACAAACAAGAAGGCAAAAAGAAGGCAGAGCGACCGCTCTGATCGCAAAAAATGTCAAAAGATTCCGAAACCGAGAATCGAACTCGGGGCTATGCCTAACCTCTCAAAGAGATGAGAGGGCATCATGTTGGCCACTACACCATATCGGATGTTGCTGACAGGGCGGCCAACTTGACTGCCTAGGTAGCTCTGCGGGTCCGCCAGTGCACGTGACAGACCCAGCAACACCACACATCAGGTTCAAGTCTCCCTTTTGGAAGGGGAAATCCTGGGTAATGCAGCAGTCTAGGGAATACACTGCTCTCTGGTGTTCTCCTCTTTCAATGCGGTGTCACTTCAAAGCACCGTGCTCTTAGCCTGTCGTCTCGATAAAGTTCTGTGGAATGCTGAGTTACAGCTTGCGAGAGAGAGCCGCATGTACGACCTCGTGTACGGATACGTGATTCGGGCTACGACACATATGTGCCACATCCCCCAGTTTTAAGGTTTTGTTTATCTCAGTTGAACTATTACGATTAGGTTAAGCACAGTTTACACCAGATCGGAATGTTAGATGATGGACTTGGAAGCGGATGCTCCCGCCGCTTTCTTGTGCTTCCCGAGAGGGAGACGGTGTCTGCCGAGGAATGCGGAAAGGCACTATGTGCGGGTTCCAAGAGAATTGAATTCCATGCTTCTTTTGACTTCCTCCTATTTATGGAGGTTGTCTTGAGATCACCAACCTTCTTACGCATAAACATTTAATTTTCCGCAGCAATTAAATGGCCACGTAAAATCTCGAGATGTACTCGGGAACTCGGTTC